ATAGTATTTCGTGCGCACGTTATACTTATTGCGTGGTCGCGAAATACTACTTTGTGCGCACGAAATAGTATTTCGTGCGCACGTTAAACTTATTGCGTGGCCACGAAATACTACTTGGTGCGCACGAAATACTACTTCGCGCACGTTATACTTATTGCGTGGCCGCGAAATACTACTTCGTGGCCACAATTAAACATTTTTTTTGACCATGTCATAAGAGGGGCTCCGTATTTACTCTATTTTTCAAATTAATTAATTAATTTGCAAATGAAAGTCCAAGAAGCTGAATGAAAACTAGGGTGAAGGTTCATTGTGAAGTTCACAACCAGCAAAGGCCAGTGTCCTGTTAATGGGCCCTTTTAAAACTAACACCTACATTTCTTTTTTATTTTTTTTGTTTTACAATTTTTGTGATGTGCATTCCTTATTTGGATTTTTTTTTCAAATCAAAATAAGGAACGCACTTCACAAAAATTTTAAATAATTTTTGTTTCCATCCATCTTCCCTCACTTAGTTCTGTCAGGGTCGCATGGGGTGCTGGTGTCTATCTCCAGCTGTCAGTGGGTGAGAGGCGGGGTCCACCATGGACAGGTGTCCAGTCCAACAGGTCAAACAACCATTCACACTCACACCTAAGGAGAATTAACCTAACAGTCATGTTTTTGGACTGTGGGAGGAAGCAGGAGTACCTGGAGAGAACCCACGCATGCTCAGGGAGAACATGCTAACTCCATGCAGAAAGACCTCAGACAGGGAATCGAACCTAGAACCTTCTGGCTGCAAGGCAGCAGTGCTGCAAAGTTTAATTTCTGTCTTGCAGTTTTGTTTTTTTAAAGTTATTTCTATCAGCAGATCTTGTTCTTGTGAAACTAACGGAACAAAATCCACTGCATCACTGTGCTGCTACAAAACACGGAGAGGCTAACCCTCCTAAAAGAAAAGATAACGAGTTTGAATAAAGTAATGCTTTTTTTTTTGGTGAAAATGCTTCTGTGGACTAGTTCACATTAGATAAGGAACAATAGTTTACTCCTTCAAACAGCCGGTTAGAGCCGGTGGGGCTCGACGCTGTTTTCAAAAGGTCCTGTAGGGGGAGCCTGAAGGGAAAATGGCCAAGTGCTAATTCAAATACGAGAAGCGACATGGTAATCAGCATGTTACTGTGTGATTAGAACAGCTATGTCTCTGTTTCTTTATGATCTGGTGCTTTCAGACGGTCTGCAGATGATTTTAATCTCCTCATCTTTCTTCTTCATTTGCTGAATAACTGGGATGTCATAAAAATATGTCTGGGATGATGGATGGTAAAATGGAGGACGGGTATAAATCAGCCCATCTAAACAGCCCGAGTTATTTTCTTTTTTTTTTCATTAAGGAAAAAGCTGTTTATAGAGGAGCTGATATTTTCCTCCCTGCTTCCATCATGACTCCATGCTGTGGATCCAGGATCAGGGAAGATCAGGCTGTTCTGATGACTGACATGTTTGTGGGGAACAAACTGGACTGATTTGGGGGCGTCTTTGATTGTGAACAAAAGTTACAATCCGGAGTTCAAGCATCTTCACCTTTCCTGTGAGTCGGTATCAGCCATGATGCCGGTGTTTTACAGCCTCTCTGCTCAGCAATCACGCTGCACTTCAACTGACCTCCTCTGACATTTTAATAGCCTCCTTCGACATGGAAGGAATCCAGAAGCATGTTTTCTGTTATCCCATTTGAACGGCGAGGCGATCTGTCTTTGCAGCTGCCAGGAAACATACGGTGTGCGTTACAGAGCGCCGGCTGATGCTGCGCTGCCTCAGCTTATGGAGGAATGCTGAAAGCAATTGAAAATGACCTGTGGGAGTGAAGGCGTTTATATGGGGACGGTAAACAACCACCTACTGTAATAATGACTAAATAAACATGCCGGGTATGAGGGAGATGATAAACAACACCGTCCACTTTAATGAGGCAGACTAAACTGTAGAATGAGCTAGAAGACAAATATCAGACCTGAAACTCTAGATTAGAATAAAACTAATTTATTTATGTAAATTATCCAGATTCAGCAACCATAGCAACCCTGACCAATTGGCTGCTTTTCACTGAGCAAGATAAAAACTTCTTCCTGGTTTTCTTTTACTCTAAAATAAACATTATTGCTGAAAAATTGGGTAATAACTGTAAAAAGTATTGAAATTTCTTTCAATACTCCAGCCTGTATACCTCTGGTTACTTTGGTCTGAAATATATGGAAGAGGATTAGGGCCACTGGAAAAAAAAAAAAAAGTTAACTGATTTTTTTAAATTTTATTTCAGTTTAACATGGGGAAAAAAGTCAGAATTCTGACTTTTTTCTCAGAATTCTGAGATTAAAGTCAGAATTCTGACTTTCTTCTCAGAATTCTGACTTTAATCTCAGAAGTCTGACTGAATTCTGAGAAAAAAGTCAGAATTTTGAGAAAAAAAGTCAGAATTCTGAGAAAAAAGTCAGAATTCTGAG